AAAAACCGAAATAAACTGGTTCCAAATCACAATGCAGTCCCACTTGCAAAGAGTCAGCTTCTTCTGTGGAGATGCATACAATAACATTTAAGGTTAACTCTTAAGTTCATCACCACTGAGACCACACCATCTCTCTTGTTATTCTCTCTCTGTATTATAGCCCGCACCAGAACTGCTCACATGGTTTTTATTTCTCAGATATGACATTAAGATCTACCACAGAGTCTCTCGTGCTGAGTAAAGTACAGCTTCTCTAAAAATCAGTATCTGGATTGTTCATGTTGCTGCAGTGACTTTCAAACCGGAAGTTACAGTCATGATCCACCAAAAAACAAGATCTCACAGGATGGACATAACTATGGCTGCCCAGACAGGTACACACTGATTACAAAAGCCTTACAGAATGAAGTAGTCCTGGACCTGGTCTTACATCTTTTTATGACAGAAGCCCAAACACTTTAGGAAGACATGCTACGTGACCCTGTGATTTACAAGCACCATGGCATTCTCCAAGACCTGAAGCTTCATACAGCAGCGAGCGTTTCTGAAAGATGGAACGAAAGGCAAGTCAACATAGGTGACTCCGTACTTGTCCAGCAACAATTCTGGGACTGAGGGAGATGGGATTACCTCATTGTCCAGATGTAGAATGGCCAGAATTGAGTCTAGAACTTCCATGTGAAGGGAAAGCTCTTCCTAGACATCCGCATGACTCTTGTGCCAACTCTATTCTCTGGCATCTTAGCAGAAGTACAAGAAATAGGTGGCCATTAGAGTCTGGACACTGCATACACCAGATGGCTATCAACTGTAGCAAAGCAATTAAGTTTTGCCATAGGTCATGTCTGAGATGACAAAACTTCCTTGGACTCTAATTGCAGACTCCTAGACTGCAGTACTGTTACTGATGGCATACACATAGATTTCTTCTATAAAATGAGGAAATGTCTAACCCCATGATCCTCTTTGCACAACTCACCCTGTGCAGGCCTTCGCTCAGATGGAAGGAGGAAATTACATTGAGAAGGGAAGGGGAGAATAACGCTGTTCGTTATTGATCAAGCTTTATAAATTCTGCTGTTAAATCAGGCCACTGTTTGGATTAATTCTTTGCACTTTTCTGTGCTTTCCTGTGTTCAGTTCCATGTGCTTTTATCTCTGATGAACTTTCGCATGTGGATTAAGAGATTTTCAAGCTTGATTACTGTGACTCAGTTTAGTTCCTGAAGCATTTCCTGGGCTTTTGTGCATCTCCCCTTGCTGGCTACTTCAGCCTAACGGAGCGTCTCTTCATAGACTTTGTGTACTGCTTCCAGCATTCCAGCACTCCAGCAATATTTAACAGAAGCGCCACAGCTTCCCTCTTCCTCACAAATTGGGCATTAAGCACGCAGTTAATGGGTCAACAGGCAAAGGACTCTACTGAATGTGCAACATGATACAGAAACAAAGACTGTCTGGACTGCAAACAAGAGATATTCCTTGAAGCCAGGATACTCTAGCCAAGATCTAATAAAACAACAAAAAGAAAGAGAAAAACTAACTGAACCAAGAATAAAGGGCAGCATCACAAACTAACAGCTCTGGCCTTCCAAAAGCATAGAAGATGAAAGAAAATGAAAATATAAAGCTGCTCAGAAAAACCAGGAGCAAAGCGCAATATAAAGCTATATACAAAGCGCAGGGCACGTTAGGGCCAAACCCAAACACGTGTGGGAAAGAACAAACTATGTGTATTAGTTTATCTCCTGCATGCATTTTTACCCTGTTCCCTTCTTCTGATGTATGTGGCATAATACAGAGCAGGTCAGCCTAGTTATTCTCTTTATGAGCAAATGAGGAGCTTCCCACAGTACACAGGAAATACTAGTGGAGCACAACCTGCAAGTGACCCAGCACCTTCCTGATGATGGAGTGCAAGCTGGAGAGGGTACATCATCGTAGAACACAAAGGATCATGCCTATCTTGTAGTTAACGGCAATATATATGCCAAAGATAATCCAGGCTCTGGGATCTCTAAGTGCTTTCATCTGCACTGCTGCAAACTTCCATCCAGAACCTCAGCAAGGAAGGCATTTAGACCGGGCCACCCCAGAGTTTCCACGGTGTTAGCAGTCGCTTTCTCTGACTATTCAGAGGCAGCCTTTTCCTATGTAACCAGTCTGACTATCACAGTGGGAGCATAAAGAGCAGGGCGGAGGGGGAAAAACGAGCTTGGAGCATTAGCAAACTCCTTGTGGCTGGCAGCCATTGTGGACTGCTTGTTTCCTTTGCAGCATCGTGTTCTGGTTCCATGTGCATTTTGGCCAGAAAGCAGAAACCACCAGCTGGTAAACAAGGATGCCTCTGTGAAACAGCACTGCAGCAGCACATACTCCTTGGGCTGACGTTGAAGTAATTGTTTCCTGTCTACGCTTCAGGAAGGATGTCAGCATTTGCTATGGTGGGTGTAATGGTCTAACATGACCAGATAAAAATGGAGCAAAGTAAGGGATTAGGGAAAAAATAGTAGCTTCAATAAACGCTGGACCCAGCAGGGCTCCCGGAGCTTCTGTGTAGCAGGGAGAGAAGAGAGGGAAGTCAAGATCAGCAAACTCTGGATGGCCGCTCACCTCCTTGTTGCTCCCAGGATTCATAGCACGTGGCCACATTTCGACAATCAGATGTGTGGCACACACAAGCTCCACTCACTCAAAAGAGGCAAGGGAGCTGTGTAACCAGGGGAGGCACACTCAATCTCATCCCTAGGAGTTGTGCTGAGCTTCCTTTCTCTGGGCATGTTGATACTGGGGTAGACATGGGATACAAGGGGAAGAAGGGATATTAAACCATAGGCCTCAGGACAGTCTCCAAGCTAAATCTAATCATCAATACATTGGTGCGGGATGTTAATCTGAGCCAAAGCCACCTGGGGTACTGAAACGAGTTGTCAGAACTAACCCCTACATATGTGAATGTGCAAAGAGAGCACGCAGACATCTTAAAGAATGTGTGAGCAGGATCAAATACAAGAGGGCAGGTTTATGGCTTGCTCAAACTGTGGAAGAACAAATGGGTCTAAACCTCATGTACTTTCTGAGATCCTTTTGCTTCATGAATCATCAGCAAGTTTTGTCAGTGGGATTTCAGGTGCCAAAGAATCCATCCTGGTTGTGACATACTAGGTGGAGCTGTCAGCAGTAACAGGTAGAAGAAAACTCATCTTTTAGTGCCTGAACTTGAGTTTGATCAGGAAGTCATTGAGGATAAATAAGAACAAGATAGCACTGTGTGGTTCACAACCACTTCTCTGACTATGATTCCACTCTGAGGAAGTTTGTTGGTACCTACTGCAAGAAAAAGTGTGTGAGGGAAATCTCCTTTCTCCTCTTGTGTTGTTCTGAAAAGTGGAAATAAGTTATTCTGCTCACAGACATATTGTTCCAGTAAAATAGAATTTGAAGCCACCAGGGGCTCATTGAGAAGAGAAGCTTTTACACTATATGAAAAGGCAAGAGACAAAACCCTTGCCAAACTCCTTCACTCTTTATTACGGACAGCTGCAATGCTGGATGAGTCCGGATGCCTTTTAAGTGCCAAGGGGAGTGACAGAGGTGGGATGGCATGTGAGCAGATGAAATACATGGCAGCTTCTCCCCTGACAGCAAGTTTAATTATGTGCACTGCTGTACACACAAGAAAAAAAATATACATATACCAGGAAATCATTCATCCTGCTTCCTGTGTCAGGTGGATTATGAAAAACACTCTTGCTAGTCCATGGTAGAACAAGGTCTTAAAATATTCAGATCCTGCGTATGCCTCTGTCACAGAAGGGAGGAAAAACAAGGTAGAATATAATTCCTAATGAGGACATGAATATATCAAGAAAACTAAAAAGGTATATTTCACTGTATGAAGTGAGATACCCTCCAGAAGTAAACCGAACCAAACTTTAAGCCAAAGAAACACCCTCTTCTTCTAAGTACCTTAATTCTTGAGGACTTTTTGATGTACCCCTTCCCCTTTTTGCATGTTAAGATCAGTGAGCAGAGGGCCTGACTCTTTTGTCTGTTCAGTGCAATGTCAGCGCTCAACCAATGAACAAAAACCTGTGCTTTGTAAGGATCAGTTTTCCCAAGCCACACAGCTCCATGATCCAGGACCTTGTGTGACGCTTCAGAGTGATTATTCAAGATGTGAAATGCTCTAAGTCACTAGCCATGGTTCAAAACTATGTCTATAAATCCTACCAGTGATAGTATAATCTGTGATGATACAGATCAGAGTAAGCATGATGCAGACAAGGTATCTTTCTGTAAGCAGCAAATTAAGGGTTTAAATACAACTGAGTCAGAAATGACATCCACTTCTGCATGGTTGCCTGGCAAGCCTTGCTGTACTTGCTTAAGTTGATGTCCCATGAATCTCAATAGCCCTTCTGCTTGAATGAGGAACTGGTTCCATTCTGTATGAATTTACGTCTCCTGCTGCCAACTTCTGCACTCTTGAGAGCAAGGCCTACAACAGGATTGGTTAGTTTGAGGTGCAGCATGATGAAGACCTGCTAGCCTGAATCCTGGTTGTGCAGAAGAAAGCTCACACCGTACTTTCTGAGTGGCTCACAGGCAGCCCTTATGCCTATTCTTTCTTGGATCTTGCAAGTACAACGTCTGTTCACTGCAGTAAGCTTCTTCCTCTTTGCATTTATGCAATGCCAGCTGTCCCACCATTAGCACATTATAATTACATAATTATGAAGATCATTAATACATCATGTGAGGCCATATAGCGAGGACAAGCCACGTCACATTTTTCAGAGTTCACTTTGTGGCATTTCCAGCAGACATTCATATACTCCCCCCGTAGATGGGGGCATTAAATATGTGTATTTTATACATGAACCATCAGAGAATGTGGATTTTCTGCAACTGATCTAGTGCCTTTATTTGAAAACCAGTCAGACGCTCACAAAAAAAGCTTTGTAAAGTAGAGAAGAAAAGAAAACACTAGGACTTGCCTCACAGGGGGAGTTTCTCAGTGGAGCTGGAAACACAGGGCTGGTCATTACATTGTTTTCTCCTGTTGGTGCTTTGCTGGTGTTCAGGAGGAGTGCGCTACCTGGATGAAAGACAGAGCAAGGAGAAGGTCGAGCTGCAGCACACACCTCTGGGCTCAGGATTTGTGGAAACCTCCCCAGAACCTGTGTTAGCTGGCCCTTATTACAGGAGGATGACAGATGGCACAAGGTATTTTCAATTTATCAGGGATGAAGCTTCACAAACCCAAGCGACATACTCGGGAAATATATTTAAGTGGTCTGGCTACCTTCTTCCTACAGCTATTTTCTGTTCATCCATTCTGTTCATCTTCTTTGCAGGCTGTATAATAAAATGGATTTTCTATAAACAAAAAGTGACTTCTAGACTTCTTTATCTTCTAGTGATGTTTTAGAGATCTTCTAGTGATCTTTTATCACTAAAAAAACACCCAAACCAAACTAAAACTATGGCAAAATAATGTCACAGTAATATTAAAGCAGCTGGAGGTCCCTCTGCTCCTTAATCATTTGTCATACCAAGAGGAACAAGGGCACTAGTAACACTACTGTTTTTCATTGGCAGTGCTGGAAGGAAAGGTATGTATTTGCACTATTTCAGCTCTGCCTTCCTGCTTAGGTGGGTACCGCTACTTACAGTCTAGATATTTGGGCTTATGTTAAAATCACCTCTACAAGACAGATAAATCACATAGCAGCAGCAATTTATTACCAGTCCCCCACAGCGCCCTCTTTCTAGCTCTTTCCTTCTTGTTTACCTCTGCTCTAATTTCTCTGTGTTCTGCAATACTTTCGGCTGAGAAACCAGCTGGCATGAATCAGAAAAGCTACACTGAAGTCTATACCAGTTCACACAAAAGTAGACAATCTTACTCTTCATATTTAACTCTGGATCTAACTTTGTAAAGCAGTGCTGGAATTATACACCACCAACTCTGCTGTTATTACTGTATCCCTTTAGCTGCTTGTGCCTAAGCAATAAATGCCTCCTATGATTTATATTATTGCATTATGAAAAAGCATACGCTGGCAGGTAGCCTGTCTATCAAAATTCAACCAGCAGTAGTTCAACACCCAAGGTACAAACTTTCAAAGGTTTGTAAGAGAAGGATTAGAAATGAACTCCTGGGATTTGGGAAGGGGGAGAAAGTACAGAGTAATTTATATATAAAAGTGGAACTCAAGGCGCAATGCAGAAAAGTGAAGGAAAATTAGGAAGTAAGCAAGAGGGTAAAAAAGCAGCAGAATAGAGAAATGGAGAAAGTAAATGGGAAAAATCAGAAAGAAAAAAGCAGATTAAATTAGTAAGGTGGAAGGGCAGAAGAATGAATACTTGACGGAAAACTGTTTAGAAAGGGTCAAGACTAATATCTAGAGTCAGTCTTGGAAACTTGAGATACCAATCTCTACCTTCCAGACAGGGGGTAAGCAGCAAATGTGATAGTTTTCTTCCTCAAAGCACTTAAAATTGAAAGATGGCTTTTGCTTCACTGAAGGCTGAATATATAAGGACACAGGAAAATGTGCTGTATGATTTACGTCGTCTCCCCACCCTTTGCACCTTATTGCTCTCTGCTGTTCATTCTCCACACCCGCTAGTTACTCTCACGTACCTTCTAGTGGAGGAAAATGATTGTACTCTGGGCTTCCAATTTGCCATGGAGAAGCACGAGATGCAGAGGAGTCCTGAATCCAGCCGCAGTCCCCTTCTTCAAAGGAACAGTAAAAGCCAGAAGGAAGTTTTTCTGCAAGAGGGAGAGTCACACACACACAGAGAAAAACACAGATGAGCTGAGAAAGAGATCCTGGCCACATGGAGAAGCTCCAATGGTTATTCTGACAGGGCTACCCAGGACATGCCTGGCATTTCCTCAGCTACGCTGCACAGTCCTTTTGTGTAGAGTCATACACACACCTGATCATGGGGAGGGCGGTGGTGGGGGAGCGACACCTACACTGTGATTAAATGACTGCCCTCAGACAAGGAGGACACACTGCAGTATACACGACAAGGTCTCCTAAGTTCCTGGCCTCTACAACTCTAAAAATATAAACCCACGCAGGGTTATAACTTGGAGACAGCTTTCCTAACCACTGATTCTGTAGCCCTACGGAGGGAAATCTTGGATAGCGATAAATTCTTAACATGTTTCCCCTCCAACGCAGTCTAGGTCTCTAGTCAATCCAGCTCAGCACTGTGATTGCTTCCCTCCATGAACACCGCCTCCACTAGGATCTCAGGTTAAGCACTGAATCCTTTTGTGCTTCAGTTTCTGCACCCATGAAACAGCCCACACCTCCCTGTATATGTTTGGTGAGATGAATGGATGAAAGGAGAACAGTTTATTTTAAGCCATGCCTTCAGGTTTTGAAGCCCACTCATTCTGTCAGTGGCTTGGGATTTCAGGCAAAATTCCAGCTCTAATAATAAAGATACATTAGCTTCTTGCCTTTAAATTAATCGACTTTAAAGTAAGAGTCATCCCGTTCAAAGCAGCAGGTAACTCCATGCCTTCTTCATCCCATTTTATGTCTACATTGCAAGTTCTTCTTCCAAAAAGTACAATGCACTGCTCCTTTTGCCCTGAGCCATATACTTACTTTGCCCAGTAAGTGAACACTCACTATCCTGCCTCAAATCACCCATCTCCTTTAAAACTCCTGAAATCCTATCATCCTTACAGAAAACAAAAAACAAAAAAACCCCAACAACTCACTGCCTCCCTACTTTCCACCATTGTCTGGTTCTATCTTTGCATTTTTCTTCTTCAACATGAAGCCAGATTCTGTACTGCTTAAGTAACCTCTGTAGAAAACGGACCTTGTAAAATGCCATGTAAAATTGCTACCTCTATGAAGTGACTTCCACTGCCACTATCACTAATGATCCTTAACAAAGATTCTGCACCCAGGCTGCAGCTGACAATTCTGCCAGATACGAGCAGGCTTCCCAGTACTAAAAAGGGTGCAATCTGGGTTTTATGAGAAGAAAGGTAGAGCATAAAGTTAGCCTGGGAGAAGAAGGTCCCCTTTTAATGATGATGATATTCCTGACTTCTCACAGTTTTTTATACCACTATGTACTCAAATCTGTGCTAACAACCAGTTAGTCTATATTCTTCTCCCTCCCTGTTCCCCCAAACAGCACAAAAAATTTAAATCTTCTTTGTTATTTTTTCAAGGAAAGAAAATGAGAGAATAAATCTGTTTAAAACTGCAAGACAAAAGCAAATTTCAAGTGAATTTCAAAACTACAAGCACATTATAAAGCCACATATCCAGGAAACTAGTTCTTCCTTTCAGGTGCTTGTTGAAGCCAGTAAAAATTTTCTTGACTTACAAAAAGTAGGATAGATTACAAACTCTTAAAGCCAGAGAACCTCCTCTTCAGATGATACTGGCAATTTCATTAGTTTCTCTACGAGAAGAGCAGGCTCCTGGACTCAGATCTTCTCATGACTATAAAGGAATTTTTTCCTCTGAAGTTTTTTATCTGTAAAGTAGGCACCAGATGCGAAGGCACCGGTATGCAAACCCTGGATCATTCAGCATGTTTAAAAACCATCAGAACTCACTGACTGAGGTTGTAGATCAATTACACACCTGCTCGCAGTGCCTCAGCTCTGATTTATACACCTCAGAAGACAACTCATTGTCAATGGTTCATTCATTTACTCCCTGGTCTATCCTGAAAAAACAGCTGGGGAGCACCACTACTGGAGTGTCTAGATCAGAAATGTCTGATTTTCTAGGAACCTGAATCACAACTCATTTCACAGAGGCTACTGAAACAAATCTTGTGTATGTGGCTTTTCAGTAGGGCCACATTTGAACCTGGAACCTGACATGGAGATGAGAACCATGATTCATTGTTTTGCCATTTTCCACAGTTTTGACATTCCATCCAAACCTGTTTTGAACGGATCAAAACCTGTACTCAAGCTAAAGGCTTTTTCAAGTTTTTCCTTTTAAAAATCTCCAAATTCATTCAGCCTATTCTTTACATGTGGAACTGTTAGAGATCAGCAGAGAGATGCTTCCCTGTGTTTTACCCCTCTACATAACTCGATTATATTTCCTTGTGCAGCCTGAGGCTGGGAGCTGAAGAATATGACAAATTATCATGTTTCCTGAATTCCTACTGAAACAGCTTGGCTTAGTGTCCAAGTGAATTAATTTCATGGCCATACACTATCTAAGATGATGTAAACAAGTCAGAGCAGCAGGAGGAGTCATCTAAATAGCAAACCCTGCCTGGAGGCCAGAAAAAGCTCACTGTAAAAGAACAAGTAAGGGCATAAAAAAAGAAACTATTACTTTCTCAATAAATTTCATTCCTCCTCCACAAATCAATCTTTTATAATTTTTCAGATGTCCTGTGCACTGGACGTATTTTTCTCTTCTACTTTTTTGTACTTTGTATAGATAAAACACCTATGATTCCATTTATTGCTACTCCACAGAATACTCTGACTAGTGGTTCTTTGTGAAAGTGCACTTCTCAATTTTCTGAATGTTTATACTTCAAACTCACATTAGCATAGAAAAGACTAGCCATGGTTCTTGACACTGCACTGATCAGGGAACGCTCCCCTGACTTTATTGGAAAATCACATAAATGAGAGGGCAGAAGTTATGACTATTCAAACTCGTCACGTTGTGTATCATTAGTGACAGAAACCTCAACAGGTTTAGACCTTAGTAAGATCAGGATGCAGCTTGTGAACACAGACCAGAGAACAGGGTAATCCAAAGAGACTGGAGTACTGTGAGGAAGTAAAAGGCTCTGCTTTTATTTGATTGATGAAGTAGACAAAAGCTGCAGGGGTGTTAAACTTGTTCTTAACCAAATATTTCCTTCAGAATGATTTAGATTTTGCTTGAAAAGGTAATTAAGTTCGGGGTCTCTAACCTTCACTCAAATTTTTCATCCTTCAATAGCAAGAAAAATCAGCAAGTGGAATAATTTATGAAGAGGATAGAGCAGGTTCTTTATCATTTGTCTCCTGAAACAAAACTTGATTTAAACCAACCAGATATTACAATTTAAAGTTTGAGGTGAAATTCCAGGCTCATAATATAAAAGACATATAGAAAAAAGGCTATTTTGGTCTTTAAAATCTATGAGCTTTTAACAAATGTAGGAGGAAATCTCAGAAGACAAAAAGATCATCTACTCATGCAGTTTAAAGAAGCTCATGAATCTTAAATGCAAGTTCGTTTTTAGGGGCTACCTTTATTCTACCAAGCTTGATCTGCCAGATTCTATCGGAAACAGAGGATAAGAAGAAAAATACATTTCAACTTGGCAAACAAAGGGTTTTCCTTTAACGTCAGATAGCATTGTTGAGATCAGAACTGCCAGAGGTTAGAATTCGTTGCTAGAGGTAGAGCTTTTGATCAAGAAAGAAGCAAAAGGATTAGTTAGTGTTTGTAAGACAGCAACCGGTCACTACTATATCATTTTGCTTGCAGGGAGATTCTACTGGGCCTATCACTAGGACATAAATGAATCCACTGGTTCCCTAATGCATTTTTGCCTGGAAAGTAAACTGGCCCCTGTAGAATTAATTATCTATGCTTTTTTTTCGGTCACTTGTTCATGTTATCACAAATTCAAACTTTATAGCTTTCTATTCTGGCTGCCATCTGTCTTTTGACAGATGAGTGTGTGCACTTCTCCAACCACACAGCACAGCTTGAATCACTCATATCACGATGCGTCAGATATTAGTCTTCCTTCTCTCACCTGTTAATGCAACTCCATTTTGTTTAACATCCTTAAACATTCAATGACGCAAAGAGCGAAAATTACTCTATAACCCAGCGGTTAAGGAACTTATCTGAAAGGTAGAGCACTTTAGTTTCATTCCCTGTTCCAGGGAGTAACATTAGTACAAGGTAGAACAGCAGCCCCAGGAGAGACTGAGTAACGCTATTTCTTCCCCCTTGCGTATTCCATACCACAGTCTTGAAAACTCTCCGTGGAAATAACAGACACAGGTTCAAATCCACTTATGCAGAAGAAGGATTCAGTCCTGGGTCTGCCCTGCCCGGGGTGAATCCTCTAAGCTCTGGGTCTCTAGATAATAAATATACTATCAGCACCTCCATTCTTTTTAAAATTCGGATATATTCATGGCTTTCCTACATGCTTCACATCATTAACCAATTTTTTTTTTTTTCAGGAAAACTTTTTGTTTGCCTCTTTGGCAATGCAGAGCTCTGTCTATCTGTCTTAGTACAGAATTTGGCTTTTTAATCTCTGTCTTGTAGCATAACAGATACATGACATACATGATTTTCTCTACTACATCAGGAGGAAGATTTTTTTTTTGCACTAAGTTAGGATTCATAAGCATGAATTTACTAGCAAAGACATGGGAAGAGCACTATTTGAAGTCTTAATGTATGCCTCTAAAGTATACTTCCGCAAAGTAATTTCCAGTGCTGCTCTTCTACCGGTCTGTTAAATCTGTATGTCTGATCCCAAATCAACATGGTTTGGCATCCAATTCCGCATCTGCCTCTTTGAAGCTGTCTTTTGCTCCTGCAAAGAGTATTTTGGTTATGACTCAGACAGCAACATTCTTTTCTCCAGGGGTCACCCCTCTCTGATTTTACACCCTCTACAAAGACTAATTGGTTGCAGGCGGAACAAGCACCGTGACATTTCATTGGCCATGTGAAGAGTGAGGAGATGTTAACAAACAGCAAGCTTTACAGAGTTTTTCTCAGCTAGGAAAGGAACAAAAATCAAATGAATGGGAGACTTACACACACATGTGCACACACACAGACACAAAATCTGTACCTGCACAGCTAAAAAACATTTGAAAGGAAAAAAACATCTTCTTGAAACCCAAAGATAGAAGCCTTTAGTTAATGACAGTTTTAAAAGATCTCCCCTCAGTTTCAAGCATGGCTACCTCTTTTCTGACAGCTCTTTTGTGTAAGCAGTAGAAGCACTTGGGAAACCCCTTACTCTGCTTCATATATCTGAACTACTTTTTGTGATGCTTGCAAAAACAATGAAAGCATCTGTGTTGCTCAGGACTAAAATGACAACTGCAATGTTGAAAGATGCCGTATGTTTTGTCTTGGGCTGACATGCAGATGTAACTGACATCTAAAACATTAGATCATTTTTTGTTTTGTGAAAGAAATTGTGTGTCAACAATATTTAGCACGCTATTAAAGAAAAAGCAGAGAATTCAGCCACAGAACTGAACAGGTTCCTAAGTTATTGCTAGCAGACATAGCAACAATCCAAGCTCTCACAAGCTAAGTCAAGCCAATGCTGTTTGTTACAGCATGGAATGGAAGATGGTGTCTTCCGGATGGGATTAAGAACTCTCATTCCAAACACCTGTGGCTGAAAATAAGCCACATGATCTTCTTCTCAAGGCCAGGGAGTGACGCTCTGCTAAACAGAGAGTCAGTTAATTATGTTCTGATTTTTATGTTCTCTGTATTTTTAGTAAACTATTTGCTGACATGACTATAGTTGCTATGCTGCCTTAGACAAAGAGCTACAGATTAATGCTGCATGCCAGAGGAAAAAGCAACCAAACAAACCCTGTGTATAGGGCATGCGAGAGAGAGACCGGTCACTTTACCAACTGGCTCACAGTGGGATACAGTCAGGCAGCTAGGGGCCCAAGGAGACCCAGCATCCTGACACTGAATACCGAAGAACATCAGACAGAGGTGCATCCAATATTTGAAAATAATAGGTAAACATCTTCCTTTAGGCCTGCTCTACCCTTTGGTAGCATTTAGGTTGCAGCCATGATTGGTAGAACTCCATCTCATGTGCGCTACTGTTCCCAACAGTATAGACACGATTACCCTCACAAGGTAGAGCCATATATATAGCAGACAGACACAGCTATTTATCCGGACATAGAGTTGATCCATTGTATAGACTGGGTAAATAATATGGCTCTGTGCTAGCAATGAAATGAAAATACATCCCATCTACTGTTTATCGTAATTCATTAAGTTTTTTAATTAAAATGTAGAATACAATAAAAATTCCATTAAAAGTTTTTCATGCTGTGTTTGAAAGTTCTTATGCAAAAGGAGGTTTTGATACTAGTAATAGGAAACATTACTGGTTCCGAACAGCTGCAAGTCAGTAGTGATGATAGCTTTGGTGTGAATATAAAAGTGAAAGTGAATATAAGGTGCACGGAGCAGGTGTCATTAACACATATAATTTCAAACTGTAACAACTTCTGACATGATGGATAGACGTATCATTTCTAGGCTTTAACTAGTTTACCAGATGATCCCAGGCCAAACCACCGCTCTCCGCACCAACAAAACCTGCTACTTTATTTTTTGTTAAGTGTCAAAGAAATCAAGGGTGCAAATTCCTAAAAGTTGTGTGTTACTCCTATGTTAAGTTTATGCTAGAAACAATAAAGCTCTTTTAGTTTGGACGTCACCCAGATGAACAAAACTTGTTTGAATTTCCTAAACCAGATTCTCCCCTGCTCTAGCTGTCCCATTTGAAAGATGACCCGACGCTAACTCTCTCCTCTGTTCCAGTGGCTTTTGCCAGTAAAGGCATTTTGGTCAGGGAGCGTTTTTTTCGCATACCAAATTAATGCAGCTCCATATAGAAGTCCATAGTCGACATGGTACACATTTTAAAGAGATAAATGATGAACTCTCAAAGATTATTTTCCATGACATACTTGCCATATGGATAACCACAGTGTTGACAACATAACACTGCCCACTATCAGTAGATTCACAATGGTGAACATGCTATAGGTAGAACACATAAAGGCATAGAGACCACATCTTCAGGACTGTTACAGGAAGGTCCCACGTTATCTAAATTAAACAACACAATTACAGAAATATTCCGGGATAGAAAAATTTCTGAAAACTCAAGTTGCTGTCTAGTTTCTTATGTATCTTACATGACTGCGGACTGCCAAAGGAAGAATGGAGAACGAGAGAAATGACAAAGATACAGGAGTTGGTGTTGGTTAAAGTACGGGGCTGGGACTGAAGAAAGACAAGTTCCTGTCTACTTATTTTTCATATCCTAGAAGTGTTCTTCTTCCTCTTCCTTCTGCTAGATATTGCGATACATTTTGATGGAAAGAATGCGTACATGAACTTGTGTATGAAGCACGCATTTGCTAATTGTGTAAGGCATCTAGCTATTTAAGCTATATTTCCTTTGTATTTTTGATCAGGATGTAGAGACAGATGAAGCAGTGAGAGTGACTTGAGAATCTGTTGCAGTGTTAACGTAGGGCAGTAGAGGAACAAACCGAGTGGTTAGCTCTAGGCAGACATCCAGAGAAAATTTGTGTGTCCTGCAGGATACTGTTGTTTTTAAATAGCATTGAATTAGTTTATTAGTATTGAACTTGGGCATTATTATTATTAGTATTGATCCTGGGCAATATGCTCTAGGTGACCCTGCTTGAGCAGGGAGGTTGGACTAGATGATCTCCAGAGGTCCCTTCCAACCTAAACGATTCTGTGATTCTGTGATTCTGTAACTTTCAGGCATTAAAATTCAAAGCAATCTATGCTTTCAGAAACAGCAACTCAGCTTCCATCTCCCAGAAGGAAAAGGATGTAGGCTGGGGGGTTTGGTTTTACTCACTGCACATATCTCCCTCATCTTCTCCCTTGTCACAGTCCCTGATGAAGTCACAAGCCTGCCCCAGTCGGATCACTGTTCCATTCCAGCAGCTGAAGGAACCTTCCAGAGCCATTTTTGAGCCAGAAGCAGATCCTGGAGAAAGACAAAGCAAAAACCACTTCAGATCACTGAATTGCCCTCCTCCCAGTGAATAGGTCACAGTATCCTGGAAAACACAGAAGGAGAGAGTACCCTTTGAAGCATCCCAGCCCACAGTCCAGGTCTCTGAAAGTATGTAATCATTGTAGCAAGGTATATAATTATAACATAAAATCAACTGTTCTACCATTTCCAATCTTTGAAGTCTTGATAAAGCAATTTTTAAAATTCTGTTCCACCTGTTTGATCTTGCCAGATTCCTAATAGTTCACACATTAGAGAACTTCAGTCCCCCAGGTATTTCTGGTGTTTTAACTCGGAGGGCAGCTCCGACCCATGAAAAGGGGACTGAAATCCTACATCCTGCTCTGCTTTACTTCTGAATAACAACACAACATGCATGATAGATTTTTAATTGTGTGTGAATTTACTGCCAGATTGCCGGTCCTGAAGACTGATATCCTTTCTCTCTAGATCAGAAATAACATGGCGAGTAAAGCACACAAGCTTTCTCCATACCCTCCTGTCAACCTGCATTACTTATGTCTTGAATGTATCATATCATCATACCTCTGCAAGACAGAAAATACTCTGACTTTTGTTTGCAGCTTTATTTTTCTACTCTATCCACTCCCACTCCAGCATCCTGCACTCCTCGCCTCACGAGGGAGTCAGGGGGTCCCACAGCAATCTGAATCTACTAGGATACTAGAATAACTAATTCATTTTATCTATGCCAAGCAGCAAAAACCAGTTAGCAATGTGGAAGAGAGCCAGCTCTTGTAAAATGGGATCACTGAACATAGGATTAGAAGCCAGTACCATGCATGGAGAAATGACCCTGAGTTCTTATCCCTTAGCATAGTCCTTTCCTGGAGGCACTTGATCCCTTGACAGCTGAGAAGTCAGAGATCATCCAGCCTGATGAGTATAATCTTCCTTACCACAGGGCTTCTCTGCACCTGAGTTCTTTGATTCTGGCTAAGCAAGACACTTAGGACAAGAACTGATTTTTTTTTTTTTTTTAATTAAAGATATATGCTCTAGATCAGCCACCTGAAGAAGTCAAGAATTACTTCAGGAATAGCCTATAGTCAATACGTATGGAGGGGGACAAGCCTGATCAGTGCAAGAGTACCTTCCACAAAAAATATGAGTGTAGATACAACGCACTAAAACTTTCCTGACTCTCCGCACAGATGTGCTTCCAGTCCACTACTCCTGGAAGGCAGGTCTAGAAGTACAAAGAGATCTGTGCTGCAAATTCCCCACTGCAACAACTCCTCCCCTGTCTCATATTAAATGGGTAAGTGCTACAGATTAAACCAAAGCCTCTGGGCAGAATGAGCCATTGTTTGCCTAACTCATCCGTGCTTGCTAAACAGAGCAGCTACATCATGTTCTCTGGTACTACAGGGAGCTGGGAATCACTGGTGATTCAATTAGATATGCGCTTGATACTTTTATTTATATTGCCTGCCAAAACTAAAAATTAATGAAGCATGTAGGAAAACAACCACTACTTCTTTTCAAGCTTATTTTATGGTACAAATCAATTCGGGAGTGAGGGCAATACATGCCAAACCTTCTTAATAAAGGACCCCAGCTCCGGAAAGGGTGCTCTGTGTTACTGTCAGCTCATATATTTTGATTGCCTTAGAGCAATTCTAGCTTATGGCACGCAGGCTGCAGAGTGCCCTTGTATTTCAGTCAGGGTCAAGGCATCACAACAGAGGAGAACCGTGCAGAAAAAAAACAGACCAAGTAACTCAGAGCTGGTCGCCGGCAACTTTTGCAGGCCTCTCAGTAAGGGCTTAAGGCAGTGAGAAGACTCCCTCCTTGCCCTTGCAGTGCTCCTTGCAGAATATGCACCCTTGGAGATGCTGCTTAGAGCCTTTCCTATGCTAGAATCAAAGTTCTTCATATGTCACAAGCCAGCCACAATTTCCGGCAAGGCAGGTGGGCAGGTGCCTTGAGGCAAAGCCAGGATGCCAAAAGAAACAACATTGGTAACTCCGTAGGTGTCACTCTCTCCTCCCAGGTGTAAGCAATGAACCCTTGCGGCACCGTGCTGCTGCAAGTACCACCTAACGAACAGATAAGAAACAAGACCCAGAGCACTTCTGTAAGGCTAGTGACTTTATGACATTCTATGAAATCTTGAAGTCCCAGTCAAATTCAGAAGTGTTTTGCCTTTCTGAATTTCCCCAAGGATGGTTTTGGAGAAACTCCCGTGTTCATTTCCAACTCTCACGTCCCACACAGCTTGTCTGCAATCCTTTCGGCAACGCCTGTGTTTTATCCCAGCAGCTGCTGCATTTCAAGATCATATGCAGATTCAGAGGAAGCACTGTTGTAGGGTATGGAGTTGTTCTGTTTACTCCAAACATTGTAACTCCACACTTTATAACTTTGTAAAGGCACTCAGCTTTCCAAGCACAAGACTGCACTGACATTATTTTTAACGTAACCAAGGCAATTCAAGAGCCCCACTGTCTTCCTGGGTGTCTTTGCAGTAGCCCGAAACCACAAATCTCCTGAAGTCGATTGACCGTGGTATTTAAAAGCCATCAGTTACAACCAGACATCAAGCAATTCCAGAAGCTTTTCCTCCAAAACAACACAGCACATTTGCCTGCTCATTTATCCCCATGGAGAAAGGACAGGAATTACTTCAGATTTGCATTAGATGCACATATACATGTTCCTTGTATAGGTTAGAGAACACAAATAGCAAAGCAGCAGCTGAGAGCAGAGCTGAGGGTTCTGTGACTGTGCATGATTTATTCTTGTCTTCTGTTTGCATGCTCAGTATGTGCATAGAGGCAAAATGAACTGAATAAAGGAGAAGATTAACTAGCAAGATAAATAGGTAACCAAAAGCCACCCAAATACACATGACCCTTTCAATGGGCCACTTGATGCAGATGTTTGTATCCAAGCTCAAGAAAGCTCAATTTGTAATTAAAATATTTCATAACAAAAACAGACATTTGTTTTGACTTTTCATTTCCCAGCCTCAATCGTGCCCGGCCAGGTGAGCAAGAACGACCTTGACTGCTGAGTCAAGTGGGCTTGACTTGCACACAGAAAAGGTGTAAGGGAAGGAAAATGAATGGTATCAAACAAGTATCAAAGTAAAATTTGTGGGAGACATCCTTTATATTTACAGCAATGTTTATGTAGCCAGTGGCATCCATAAATTATACTAGTCATTAAGCTGCAGCACGGCTGGCTTGGAGTCTTATAAATCATTATTTAAACAGCAACATTAAACAAATGGCATTTCAGGCTCTAAATTGAAAGGAGAAAAAATACAATCCCTTGGGGAACAAGTGCTGACTTAGTAGCTCACAGGTCCTGCTTTCGAACACAGTTCAGCCTTGGCAATGTTCAAATCCAGTACCAGTCCCTGGATACAAATGACACTGTCTGGGCTCATGACTGGCCATGCTTTTTGCACTTTCTGCCCAGCAGGATCAGCATGGAAGGCAAAAATCACGAGGCTTAGTGCAACACGGGATGAGCAACTTACTGCTCAGACTGTGGGGCCAAGGGGGAAGTATTTCACTACTCAACAGTTTTTCCTCAGACTTGGGCTGCCTCTTCTCTCTTCTCTCCCTTCTCGAGAGAAATCAAAGTGTACTGGCAAGTCCTGGTGAATCTTTCTCAGAGGACTGTGGCCAAAGAGACCACGATATTTGCTTGACTCTGGCCATTGCAGAATGGAAACCTTCAACTTACTACCATGACACGTGGCCATGCGGGGGACAAGAGCTAAATTCTTACAGTCATTCACAAAGATATCCCTGATCCTGCAAACTTGCTGCACCACTAATTATCCTGCAGGATTAATCAAGGCAAACATAATTATACCTTCAAGTGTTACATGAAAGTTATCAGGACAATTTTCACGGCTACCAAAAGCTTTTGGGACCAACACACCCAGGTAAAGCACCCCCACCCAGCACGCAGGATAACAACAGAGGCTAATAGGGTAGTACTGGGTTGCTGTGAAAAAACAACTCACTGGTACTCTGCAAAAAAGATAAACAGAAATCACAAGGGCCTGGGGTGAATTTACATGCTAGTGCCCTTTCCAAAGCAGCTGTTCTCTGGGCTATTCCTAAGAAGCTCTGTGCTAGGCAGTGGAGTCCCGACTCCATTGGTTCCTTGGGTGAGACCCCAAACCTGTCTGAGGTGAAAGGCCTCCCCTTCTTAAGTGCCTGTACATCTTAAGGAATACTTACACATGAAACTCCACCCTGCTTAGCTCACCACACATGCTACCCTCCAAAAAAGAGACATTTGCTTATTATTTAATTACATATCTTAAAAATGTTTTCTAACAGGCTAGTGCTGCAGTCTAATGTTCTTCCCTCTGGCCATGGAATGCCACCAAAAATCCTGTTTTTGAACCTCACTGATGTTGCTTGTCTGCTATAAGCATTCATCATTAACTTCTCAATTTCATTTGCTCCTCTTCTGGCCCGAGATCAAGGTCCTGATTCAAAGATATTTAAGAAGAGAGTACTTGGGGATTTAAAGCTTATGTGAAACAAAGAAAGGCTGCTGTCTTAAGGGCATAGTTATGCCCTAGTTATAAAAGGATGGTGAGATCTTGGGGTGGGGGTGGGGGTGTCGATTATTGATTTTTCTGTGACTCACTGTTCCTGATGGGCATACCATTTCTTCACTCTTCATCTCCCACCCTCGAGCCTTATAGCAGTGCAGACATTTGAAGGCTGATGGCTCACTTGGCACCGAGGATGGTCATACCCCAGGGCAAAGTCAATTTTCTACTGATAATGGGTCAGTAATAACCTCTGCCTCCACCATTACGGAAATTGGAAGATGAGAAATAAAGGAGATAGGAAAGTGGAAGAGGAGAAAGGGAAGTTCATGGTTCAGGGAAATGAAGCCAGCCTTGGCAAATGGCCACTCAACTCTAACGTGATATAGGGCAGATCCCATAAATCAAATCTTTCACAACC